CATTCGTCTGCCGGGTGTCTTGAGTTGTTTGTATTTGCATATCAAAGACAAAATATTATAAAAGGATTTCCTTGTGTCCATAATTGTTGATATTGTGCGAGGGTGCGTGTGTGTGTGTGTGTGTGTGTGTGTGTGTGTGTGTGTTGTGCCCGTTTGCTGTGTCCTCATCCCCTTTCTATACATTCACATATTCCTCTCCTCGGTGTCCCCAGTGGGAAGTGTTGACTCCAGCACCAGCTCGCAGTATCTCTTATGCAGAAACATTGAGTGTCGGGACGGAAATAGCACGGGAGTCTCTATTGATGGCACCACAAACAGAAGCACATGTATAGTATCTGAGCAACCGATGCGTTTTCTCTTTCCCTCCTGACGTTATCAGCGTTGGACCCAGCCTCGTGTTTCTCCGTCTGAAACGCTGCGCGGTTGTGTGAAACCGGCTCACTTCCACGCCGTCGCTGGAGACGATGGCCAATTATAGCAGAAGCAGTTCAGGTTCTATTTGTCAGCAGAAAGGTGTCTTCTACCTGTGTCGTCTGTGTTTCGTGGGAAATAATATGCGCCTGGCCTGATCTTTCTATTGCAATGCAAGTGAAAGCCGTCCTCACCTTTTTGTATTCACCACCTTTTTGAAATCGCATTCGTAGCGCTTTAAAAGCTTTAATAATTCATGGTAAATATTGCATTTTGTTCCATTTTCATTGTTCCCATAATGGTGTAGCCGTTGCTGTTAATGACAGTAACTTGTGCTACTTGGTGTTGTATTGCTGTCGTTTTGCTCTGAGTCAGGGACACTATTCTATACGATTATTCTCCTCCCCTTTCAGCCAAAGAAAACAAATCTTTTCACAGTTGAATACAATATGCATTCAGCTAGTTAATTGACATTTAATACAGTTGATACAATATCAGGTTGTGTCACACATTGACTACACTCAGCGTCCGTCAATCTACACTTTATATTGAGCTCACTGACACGGTGATACTAGAACCATCATTTTATACGCATGTTTTATTGACAAACAAAACGCTTTTCTGGACGCTGTTGGAATGAAATCGAGTTAGTGTATTTTTATGAATGGAGCATAAGAATCTCATAGGAATGTGCTATTGTCTGTCTTTGATTGGCCCATAAAGGTCCTCGATGGATGACATCACGACGGGCAGGTTTAACTGTTTAACGCTGCGATCTCTTTATTTGTCTGAGAAATCAGTGACTCATAATAATAATAATAATTGCACGCCAACATGTTTACTCTTCCCCGGATGACGTCGCTTTTAACTAGCAATGGGACGACCATATGAGGTCATCGACAGAGTTGTTTTAGGAAGTGAAAAAACAACTTTTACCCTCTCTCCCGCGGCCCCTCCTGTCTCCACCCAGCCAATCAAATGTGCCTCCGCCGGGCGTATGACCCACACCCGTCGCTATAGCAACGAAGGCCTGCCTCCTAGAGAGCTTCTCATGCATGTTAAGTGGCTTCTCAGATGATCGCTCGTTGTCTACCGCCTCCCTCTTTATGTGGACGCGCACACACACACACACACACACAGGCACGGGTGGTTTCCACAACAGTGAACTTGAATCTACTAAATGAAACCTGCCACATTCGGGCTTCGCTGTGTGGAATGAGAATCAAGCATAAGTGCTGAACGCGGGGTTTTGTTCGCGTGTGTGTGTGTGGGTGTGTGTGTGTGTGTGTGTGTGTGTGTGTGTGTGTGTGTGTGTGTGTGTGTGTGTGTGTGTGTGTGTGTGTGTGTACGTTTGGTTTACCTGGTGTTCGGAGTATTTCGTATTTTTACTCCAAACAGCATTTGTGGGAGTCGTCGTTACAGTTTGTATAGCTACTAGTTCTTAATGTCCGCCATAAAACGGGACATCATTTCCGTCTTTTTTTAGCGTTTTATTAAAGCTAACTAGGCTGTTAATTCATTCAATATATTTAAGAATGTTTCAGTGCAGCCCAGGTGAAAACTGTTTTCTTCAAAATCATGTTCTATTTTAAAACCCTTTGAGGGGGATGAAAAGAAACACTGACACTGAATTGACTCAGCCCAAATGTTTTTGAAAAGCTTGAAAAGGAGAAGCTGCTCACCAAGCAGTGCCACAGTCTGCACCCCCACTGCCACATTTAAACTCTATTTCTGAAGTTTATTTTCTTCTTCTCTCAAATGCATTATTTAAATCGGTCTTCTTACTAAAAGAATTTTCAAAAAGTATTTAAGTATTAAACTTTACTGCATTTGGTGGATTAATACAAGTGAAGCAACTGTACTCTGGAAATGTGTTGTTTGCTTTAACCCAAAAGGTGTCAGATACATTGTACTGGAATGATATTTGCATTCGCTTGACTCTTCTGTGAGAGTAGATGTAAATCCTTTTGGTGTGTTATCTCTAAATCTGTGGGTCAGTTAACAGGGACAACACTATCAGCTTAGCCGGTATTCTGCCAACTGTACTTTCTGTGTAGAATATGAATGTTTCTAATGCCTTCATGTTATTGTTTTCTGCTTATTTTCTCATTTTTAAAGATACCAATGTATTTGAGTCCTTGTGGCTAAAAGGATCCAATTCAGCCAATTTAGACCCCAGAACTGCTAATTGAGTTCACGTTTGCTCTGGGTGCCATTTCAACTCCCCCTCTCAGCGGGGGAGTGGCCCTCCTTCCTCTAACGCGTTCGGTTAAGTCGACAATTTCTGTGCTGTCCTCTAAAATTGAAGAACAGATCAAGAGACTCACTGCAAATTATTCATAGCCTCCTGTTGAGGCTGCTACTGTGTGTGTGTGTGTGTGTGTGTGTGTGTGTGTGTGTGTGTGTGTGTGTGTGTGTGTGTGTGTGTGTGTGTGTGTGTGTGTGTGTGTGTGTGTGTGTGTGTGTGTGCGCCACACAGTCTGCCGGCACCTCGAGAAAATGATGAGAGCCAACGTGCGTTGAGGATTATGTAGTTGCCGGTCGATGACGGGTCAGGCAAATGTGATTCAAACAAGGTCGGCTTCTGTCCCCTCGGACGGGACAACGTGATGATGAAGTGGGAATGTCGGCGTGAAACAAACAAGCGGCTGTGGCAGAGTTCATGGATGCAACAACGTTAGGTTGCATGTTACATTACAGGTCATTTAGCTGACGCTTTTATCCAAAGCGACTTACATTGCATGTTTAACCCATGGCTTTTACACTTTTGCCCGGGGAGCAATTAGGGGTTTAGGTGTCTGGCTCAGGGACACTAAGCCAACCTTGCGGTTCCCGGCGGTTAGGCACATCCTCTCTACTCTATGCGCCACCATCGACCCATGCATATAGATGTTTAAGAAGCGGGTGGGTCTATATTGTGGCATTACATAACATTTCAGCTTTATCCGTCACAGGGATTAGAATGACGCCCAGGATCATCATCATCATCATCATCATCACCGTTCATGTGCAGCCATGTCAGCAGTGCAATGCGGTTACGTCCTTTTGTAGGTTTAATGTCTGAGCAGCAGTCATATCAAGTGTCAAAATCAATTACAGGCTCATATATTTATTTATTTATTAATGCAAGCAGGTCAAATCCCAGCCTATGAAGTAGGGCAGCTTCTGATTTAATTAAATATTAATAACACCAACAAAACGTCATACTAATAGTGTTTGTAACAATTAAAGTAATTTACTCAACAAGCCTGTTTGTGTGAGAGGGTCAGAGGTGTGTGTGTGTGTGCGCCCTCAGTAGGAACACAGTTGAAGATCGTATTTAAATACACACTCTCTTAGCCTGCCCCCTACTGTTACCCAGACCTACTTTGAACACACACACGTATACACTCACACATTCTCTGGGGGAAATCCGCTCTTAAAGCACTTTGGAGGTGAACACAATTGGACCGGCACTGAGCTGTGAGGCTAATGAGTGTTGGGTGATTTTTCTTGACCCACTTTTCCCAGTTAAAGCTCAATTAAGCAGTTTGTAGACAAACTTTGGCCAGAGGACTTTGTGGATTATACTGCCTCTTGTGGCCAAGAGCGGCATTGCTCCGCCTCTCCTCTTTGGCCCTTTTAGTAAATGGTCCAAAACTAATGTTAGAACTAATTTTCCTCCAAGTCTTCTGACTGTGACTCTTCACTCTGGCTGAAAGGCCTTTTTGGATTGTTTCATTGCATCATTTGTGGCACCTAGGACATGTCACAACCCTGGAAACGATTTCTAAAAGTCATATTTATTACTGGCTTGTGTCTAAAAAATGACTTTCACTTTTTATTTTCTAGAGGGAATAAGGCCTAGACATAGCACCTTTCTACCTTCTGCCTAAAACACCTTTCACAAAGAGGTCTAATGCCACAGTCCATCATACTTAGGCTTTTATTTAGTAAAATATGATTTGGTTAATGAATAATGGTCATTTTTTTGTGGGGTTTTTGGAAATGTTTATCAACACCTCCGTGTTCAAATCCTAACAATCCCACAATATTTAGCTGTTGTAGTTCTCAACGTGTCCAGTTGGTGTCCTCCTCTCCCCGTTTCCACATCCACATCCTGAGTGACAGCTTGAGTCATCCATCCGTCCCGCTTTCAGAGACACTCCCACTATGGAGACACTTTGACCCTTCGTGTAAAGTGCTGGTATCGTTTGATACCATGTAAAGCATTTATTTATTACAGTTTCAGTTAGTAAACCATCATTTTAGGTGAATACATCGATACCTTCCCTTTTTTAAGATGTAAACCTTGCGTTTCTGTGCACAGAGTGTATTTATGCGACACCTGTATGATCAATGTGTTGTTGTATTGTGGTTACAGCGATGCTTTATTAACAGTCTCCTCTCTTTGATGTGTTTCTCCAGGAGCTGAAGAGAGTTAAGTGCCAGCAGGTTGAACTCAGTCCGTCCTGGTGTGGTGCCTCTCCTCCCTCTCCTTGCAGAACTTGTCCCCCACACTGAGCTTCTGTCTTTGGACCTCAAACACACTCATTTTGGAGGAGCCACAGGAACAGTTGCACACCTCACATCCGGCCGCACTAAACAGGATGATCACCTCGGAGCTCCCTGTCCTGCAGTAAGCTAAACACACCAGTGAAAACAATTCCAACACGTGGATGCATTTGCTGCACCGTTTAAAAAGCTGTACAATACTTTTATGCTTTTGAACCCCTTTGTGGTGAGTGTTAGCCGTCCTCTGCTTTGTGGAAGAATCGAATGCTTTGTCTCGTGTGTTTTCCTCAGGGACACTTCCAATGAGTCTGGGGCAACGGACGCCGTGGCTTTGAGTATGAGCATCGGCGAGATCGAAGATCCAGAGGTGAAAGGCAAGAAGAAGAGAGGCAGACCTGGAAAACAAGCACCGGTACGAGTCGGTGTCAGCGGAGTGTGTGTCAACAAAGGCTTGAGTGTGTGTGTGCGTGCCTTTGAGCTCTCTCCTCCATGTCCCCGTCCCCTCAGGCATCCAATAAGAAGCCGAGGAAAGCACCGGCGGAAAAGGCGGCGGGCGTAGCGAGAGGGCGCGGGAAAGCCAACGGCGTGGCCCAACACAATGGAGACGGCGGCGACCCCGTCACTCTGTTCGAGGTGGTCAAACTGGGCAAGAGCGCCATGCAGGTGGGTGATTGCTGCGTGTCCTTACATTCAAGATATACACGCTTTGTAATATGCATTATTCAACCAAATATATTGAATTGTGTTTGCTGATACCTGTGATTGTTTGTTTGTGTTTTGCGCATGTGCCCGCAGTCTGTGGTGGACGAGTGGATCGAGTCGTACAAACAGGACAGAGACTTGGCGCTGCTGGATCTTATCAACTTTTTCATCCAGTGCTCAGGATGCAAAGGTGAGACGAGTGAGACCTCCGCACCGATTGCTTAATCCGGATCCGATCTGATTGCAAACCCCGTCCCCATTGTTCTGTAACCAGGCACTGTGAGGATTGAGATGTTCAGGAACATGCAGAACGCAGAGATCATCCGCAAGATGACCGAGGAGTTCGACGAGGTAACCGCCTGCCATTGGAGTGGAGTTGAAATGCAGATGTAATGCCGGTGAACACGTGTCCTGTCGAAAGGGGTTCCAGTTGTAGCAGGAATGAACTTCCACAGTATAAGATAAGATGTTCCTTTATTAGTCCCACAGTGGGGAAATTACAGGATCGCGGCAGCAAAGTGGACATTACATTACATAGAGTACATATCATTTAGTTGACGCTTTTATCCAAAGCGACTTACAATAAGACAGTGGACAGTGCACACAAGATACATTGTAACAAAAACAAGAGCAACAGTATCATGATAATAATAAAAATGACAATAAGATTAAAATGAAATTAAAATAAAATAAACGAGTGCAAAGGTCACAGTGTTTAAAAATAAATACTAAGAACAATAATGGTACGCACACGTAAAAAATGTGCAGGTAAGTAAAAAGCTGTTTATACGGAGGTGCAATGGGTTTGAAAAGGTACAAAGAAAGACGAAAATTGAACGTCAACCTGTCTCATCAGGTTTCACTTTTTATTTTTGAGAGCCAAAAACAAACAAGCAAAAAGTTTGAACAAACGAAAGAGGTTGTGGTCAGAATCTTCTCAGCACCCAGATTGAGCCGAGGAGTCCACCTCTCACATCTATGACAACGCGCCATTTTAATGGCCCAACTGATCTTTACTCTGGGGAATTGTAAGCCTGTTTTGGTCAGCGAGCCGTACAGAGTTATCTCGCTGTCTCTGAGCATAAGAGAGGCAACATTTCACCAAGGCCGCTCTGAAGTGATCAACGGGATTATCTTGGTCAGCACGGACGCTCAAACCCCTCAGGTGGCCCCGAGAATCGGATGTGCGTCTGACCACCTGCGCTTCTGTCCCGGCAGGACAGCGGGGATTACCCTCTCACCATGCCGGGGCCCCTGTGGAAGAAGTTCCGCTACAACTTCTGCGAGTTCATCAGCGTGCTGATCCGCCAGTGTCAGTACAGCATCATCTACGACGAGTACATGATGGACACGGTGATCTCCCTCCTCACCGGGCTGTCGGACTCTCAAGTGCGCGCCTTCAGACACACGTCCACGCTAGCAGGTAACGCCGCCGGCTCCGTGGGCCCCCCCCCTGCGTCACTGCCGTAAAGACGCAAAGTAAAGTGATATCCGGAAACGTATTTCAAAGTACGAGACGGCAAGCTTTGCAATCGGATCGTCTCGCTTTTGACGTCCCGTGTATGCATGTGAATGTTTACTTATTGCTGGGCCTGTAATGTGCGCCGTTGTTCGTGCGCAGCCATGAAGCTGATGACGGCGCTGGTGAACGTGGCGCTGAACCTGAGCATTCACCAGGACAACACGCAGAGGCAGTACGAGGCCGAGAGGAACAAGATAGCCGGCAAGCGAGCCAACGACAAGCTGGAGCTGCTGCTACAGAAGAGGAAGGAGGTGGGCGGCCGTTGAATGTGACCTTTCAGATTTCATGTCAAATATCAGAAAGCTTTTTAAAGCAGGTCTTTGATGCGCAGAACTGATGTTGTTTCTCAACTCAAATGTGTGTAGTTTTGTGTTTAAAGAAATACAATGAAACAACAGTGTGTAAAATAGACACTTTCCAAAGTAATTTCTTGTTATTTATACGATTTAGTCTTGTTACAAGAAAATATGTAACTATAAAAATTGTTAAATATGTATTTAAAAATAAATAAATAGTGATTAATCTAGATTAATGAATTTCAAAATGTGAGACTAATTAGTTGTTTTTCTATTCTATCTATTAACAGCCCTAGTAAAATGTCCTGTCCACCCTATAACTTTTTCTTCTTTTTTTTTTTGTCTTTGCAGCTTCAGGAAAACCAAGATGAAATCGAGAATATGATGAATTCCATCTTCAAGGGAATCTTTGTGCATCGCTACAGGTACACTGTGCGTGTAGATGTGGTCATATCACTTTAAAAAAAGTTTGTTTGTACAGCACATTGTATACAACATGCATATGCATGTGTGCTTCAAAGCAAAACCATCATACATGTAAGACAATAAGGTATTACACCAGAAGAGGAAACGGCTTTATTAATGTAATCAGTGTTAAAAAAGTACAGATTCTAAAATAAGAGTTCCATATTCTAGGGACGCCATTGCTGAAATTCGAGCCATCTGTATTGAGGAGATCGGCGTGTGGATGAAGATGTACAGCGATGCTTTTCTTAATGATAGTTACCTGAAATATGTTGGCTGGACACTACACGACCGGGTAAGCACGCTGGTGTTGTTGTTCCTTCAAGGCTCATTTGATTTTTTATATTTTGGTGCCCCACACCTGATACTTAATGCGTCTAAAGATGCTTACACAAACCTTTAGCCCACCAGGATCAGTTTTAAACTCTGTCCCTCTCCCTTTCAGCAAGGAGAGGTGCGTCTGAAGTGCCTGAAGGCGCTGCAGAACCTGTACACAAACCGAGAACTCTTCCCAAAGCTGGAGCTGTTCACCAACCGCTTCAAGGTAACACCAGCAGGAGTGAACCCCTCAATCGGGACGGCTTTTGAGATGCTCAACAGCACTTGCTCACTTACTCATGCCAGCTCTTTCCCCCTGTTTTGACAGGACCGTATTGTATCCATGACGCTGGATAAGGAGTACGATGTGGCTGTGGAGGCCATCAGACTGGTCACTCTCATCCTGCAGTGAGTAACTTCCACGCTTTTGCATTCCATTTTTTTCTTTTGTATTGTACCATTTTCAATAGATTCAGAGGAGGTCTAAGCAGTTTTCTACTGTGTGTTGAGTGTAACCGGCTTTTGCTTATCCGTTGCAGGGGCAGTGAAGACGCCTTGTCCAATGAGGACTGTGAGAACGTTTACCACCTGGTCTACTCGGCCCACCGACCCGTGGCCGTTGCTGCGGGAGAGTTCCTGCACAGAAAGTGAGTCCACCCCGAGGGTTTCCCAACTTCATCTTCAGTCAGTCCTGGGAATTGTGTTAACCTTTTACTTTCACTCTGATCTTATTTGTCAGTTGTTTTGAACATCATGTATTGGCCTCTCTCCCTGATTTGGGTTCTTTTTCACTCTGGGCTTCTGTCTCTCCACCATTTCCACATTGTTCTGACCTTCTCGTTCCATCAGATTGTTCAGTCGTCATGACCCACTGGCAGAGGAGGCGCTGGCGAAGCGACGAGGGAGGAGCAGTCCCAACGGAAATCTAATTCGCATGCTGGTGCTCTTCTTTCTGGAGAGTGAGGTAAGACATGATTCACACGTGTCAAATGATACATACTAAGTACGCACAGAGGAACTTCAGATACAAAGTCTTCTGCTGAAATAATTGATTCTTCGGTCAGCAATTGACAACGACAATACAGAAAAAATGTTTACTCAATATTTACACTCTGCTCATATATTACCATATCTGCGGTTGATTGAAAGTAGTAGTGATTTCAGAGGTTTGAAGTCTGTTCTTTCTGTGTGCGCAGCTACACGAGCACGCGGCCTACCTGGTGGACTCCTTGTGGGAAAGCTCCCAGGAGCTGCTGAAGGACTGGGAGTGTATGACCGAACTTCTGACGGAGGAAGCTGTGCAGGGGGAGGAGGGTAAGACGCCAACACTCGTCCTGATTCCGCTCTCTGAGCCTGAGAAACGGCGCGTCCCGCACAACAACGTAGCCAAAAACAAGCTAGAACAGATGATTTAATCTTTGTTCATTGAAACTCCCTCTTGGTTTGCTTTGCATCTTTTTTAATCTTTGATTCTGACCGTGTTCACGATCTGCTTCCCCTTTCTGTCTCCGTGTTTGCTCCCTTCGCCGCTCTTTGTATCGGCCTCTTTCTCCAGTGTTGTCAGACAGACAGGAGAGCGCTCTGATTGAGCTGATGGTGTGCACCATCCGACAGGCAGCAGAGGCGCACCCACCTGTTGGCAGAGGTACCGGTAAACGGGTAGGCCAAGTACACACACACAATACTTTCAGGATTTACTTTGTAATTTACATGTAGTGTTTTGTAAACTTGGTGGGGTTGATTTGATGAGAGAGCAGGTGGAGCCTATTAGCTTTGTGTAGAGAGATGATTAGTTGTGAGCTGTGATTTCAATCAATAGCTTTTTATATGACGTTGCTCTGACAAACCTCCCTTTGATACAAGAAAACTAGTTGACGAGTTTGCTGTGAGCTTGGTGATGCGTGAAATAGATTAATTAAAAGATGCTATGAGATTAATGACTGTTACAAGTACAGGGAATTTATGGGTTGGGGGCAGTCGTAGCGGAACTACACATGAAAAACTCTCCAACTCATCTCACACCAAAGCTCTGTTTTATGGCCTTTTCCTCTGCCTTTTTTTTCTTTTTCAAACCTACCACATTTGACCTGGAGCTTTGTGTCTGCTTGTCAAGGTGCTGACAGCAAAGGAGAGGAAGACGCAGATAGACGATAAGAACAAACTGACCGAGCACTTCATCATGGCTCTGCCCATGCTTCTGTCCAAGGTGAGACCTTCCTAAAGAACCAGAGATTGGACCGGGTCACTGTTTTTCAAAGTCATTGACGGCTGTGTTCGTTTTATCGTCAGGTTTTAAGTTCGCTGGAAAGTACCATTCTACCGACTGGGAAACCAATTATATCCTGCCGCTGCATGTGTGCTTGTGTCTTGTTTATGCAATCCCCAACTCTCCTACTCCTCGAACGCAGTACCAGGCCGACTCGGAGAAGGTCGCCAACTTGCTGCAGATCCCTCAGTTCTTTGACCTGGACGTGTACAGTGCCGGGCGCATGGAGAAGCACCTGGACGCCCTGCTGAAGCAGATTCGGCTGGTGGTGGAGAAGCACATCGAGGTGGATGTGCTGGAGGCCTGCAGCAAGACCTACAGCATCCTCTGCTCCGAAGAGTACACCATCATGAACCGCGTGGACATCGCCCGCTCGCAGCTCATCGACGAGATGACGGATCGCTTTGCGCACTCCGTCGAAGAGCTTCTTCAGGAGGTGCGAGCGCTGCAAAAATAACTGCATGTGTGGTCTGTAGTGTCTGTGAGGGGAGCGTGTTTGAGGAGGAATATTAACATGGAGTTTTGAGGGGGTAAAGATGGAGATCCACATTTGTGCACTCACAGCTCACAACAGTTTGTTTTTCCGCAGGCGGAGGAGGCCGATGATGACGATATCTACAACGTTCTATCCACGCTCAAAAGACTCACAGCCTTCCACAAGTAAAACCCCCTCTTTACATCTCACTCACTGTGTGTGTGTGTGTGTGTGTGTGTGTGTGTGTGTGTGTGTGTGTGTGTGTGTGTGTGTGTGTGTGTGTGTGTGTGTGGTGCACACCTGCATAAAGATACCTAAACCTGTCGTTGTCTCTTGTTTCCCGGCTCAGTGCGCACGACTTGACGCGGTGGGATTTGTTTGGGAACTGCTACCGGCTGCTGAAGGCCGGCATCGAGCAGGGCTCCATGCCGGAGCAGATAGCCGTCCAGGCCCTGCAGTGCTCCCACTACTCTGTCCTGTGGCAGCTGGTTAAGATCACAGAGGGGAATCCCAGCAAGGTGCGGCCGCACATAGATTTCCCATTATGTGTCACTTATTCTTCACTATTACCTAGATCTCCACCAAATATTACTTTCTCCTGATTAATATTTGAGTTTGACAAATACTTTGGTATTTTAAAATAATTACATTTCTCCAAAAATAAAAGTAGAAATTTGGTATAAAATAGGTGATTATCTTTAGTGCTCTCTGAGATGTGTTGCCACATAGTGTATAGATTTCTCTCCGCCCCGATGATTCAATGAAATCATTCAGGTTTGATGACTTCACTGGTGCATTATGAAGATAGTGTAGCCTGACTGTCAGTGCCTTTTAATATCGATTTCTGAAAGTGTTCATAATTTGTGACACTAATGGTGTGTCTGCGCGCGTGTGTGTGCGTAGGATGACCTGGTGGCTCTCAGGAGAGTGGTGAAGTCTTTCTTGGCTGTGTGCCAGCAGTGCCTGTCAAACGTCAACACACCTGTCAAAGAACAGGTAAGGACACACACCTGCTCACACCTTCACACGCCACAGCTTAAGATCTAAAGTCATTAAATGCTGTTTAGTCCGAGTAGAGACGTTAGACATATAGGTTGAAATGTCTTTTGTTGACCTATAAAGAAAAGTATATTTATTTTAAGAAAACAAGCAGGTTTGAAGTCAGTCAGTCTTCTTTTTTGGTCGTCGATGAACAGACAAAACCTTTTCAGCTGGTCATAACTCGTCACCTGTGCCCGTTGTGCAGGCGTTCATGCTTCTCTGCGACCTGCTGATGATCTTCAGTCACCAGCTGGTCTCCGGCGGCAGAGAGGGCCTCCAGCCCCTCGTCTTCAACCCAGAGAGCACTCTGCAGAACGAGCTGCTCAACTTCGTCCTGGACCACGTCTTCATCGACCAGGACGACGAGAATCAGAGCATGGGTGAGAACTCCCTACGTGTAGTTTCAGGATTGAAAACAAAATGCCCCCCGTTCATTTGATATTTAACCTTTCCACTTTTTTCCCCTCCTCCTTCTCCTCATTCCTCCTTCCGTCCACCTGCAGAGGGAGACGAAGAAGACGAGGCCAACAAGATCGAGGCCCTCCACAAAAGGAGAAACCTGCTTGCGGCTTTCTGCAAGCTCATCATTTACGACATCGTAGACATGCCCGCTGCTGCCGACATCTTCAAACACTACATGAAGGTGACCGTTTGCCTTTACTTGTGGACAACGTTGGCTTATTGAAACGTGAAATTAAGAGGCAACATGAAACTGATGCAGATTAGATGTCAAAGAAGAAGATGAGAAAACACATTAAATTCAGACTGTAACTAATAGTGTATCTAAAGAGGTGATTTAAATGTTGACGCTCCCTATGCTTGAGTCTAGATTGCAGAACAGATTTTATAGCAATCTCTATTAATGGAGTGTTTTCAAGTTTGTGGTCTTACATGGGAACGCGACTGCAGTAATATGTATAAGATTTATTTTGGTAATCATTTTGCTGCGAGATGAAGCACAGATGTAAATAAGTGCAGAAATGGAAACATGAAAATGGAAATTTAACTTGAGTAACAAGGGGCTTTTTTCTATTAAAATGTAGTAGTAGTTGTGATGTCAAAATTGCTCCACGTAAATTCTGACTGCTGACAAAAAGTCGATCATGTCAGCAAAGTGTGAATAAAACTGTGTTGCCTTTCTGCTTCAGTATTACAATGATTACGGCGACATCATCAAGGAGACTCTGAGTAAAACCAGACAGACGGACAAGATTCTTTGTGCCAAGACGCTCATCCTCAGTCTGCAGCAGGTGAGACGCAAACTAAACACGCTGCTCCCCGCCTCCAATGAAGCGATTCGATCTGTGGAGCCTGTGGAGGTTGCACCCACAAACAAATCGTCAACTCGTGTGTGTGTGTGTGTGTGTGTGTTGCAGCTGTTCAACGAGCTGCTGCAGGACCAGGGGCCCAACCTGGACCGCACGTCTTCCCACGTCAGCGGCATCAAGGAGCTGGCCCGCCGCTTCGCCCTCACCTTTGGCCTGGATCAGATCAAGACCCGGGAGGCGGTGGCCACGCTGCACAAGTAAGACTACGGCTGTGTGTTGTCGCGCTGTTGCGCCAGGAAGTTGTGCGTGTAGATTTTGCATGCATGAGAAATGCGTGAGACTCACTGCACAGCTCCCAGCACAGCTCCCCCACAATGCACTGCGCCTTGGTGACTTGAGACCAGCTGTTGGCTTTGTGAGATTCTGTCGCTCACTCCGGAAATGTGGGAATATTTAGGAAATAATAGTTATTTGTTTTATGTCCCCTTTGGTGTCTCTGAATCTCATTTAGTGTCGCTCTTCCTTCTTTTTTACTGTCTTTCGTTTTTATCTCTCTCGTGTATCAGGGATGGAATCGAGTTTGCATTCAAGTACCAGAATCCTCGAGGACCAGAGCTTCCTCCCATCAACCTGGCCTTCCTGGAGGTTCTGAGCGAGTTTTCTTCCAAACTAATCCGCCAAGACAAGAAAACGGTGTAAGTACTCTCCCGCTCTCCTTTTGTCCTAGCGCGAAGCAAATGCTTGTGGACGCCGCTAAAACGCTGCGCGTGTCTTTAGCCACTCGTACCTGGAGAAGTTCATGTCGGAGTCGATGTCGGAGCGCCGGGAGGACGTGTGGCTGCCGCTGATCTCCTACAGGAACAGCCTGCTGACGGGAGGAGACGAGGACCACATGTCAGTCACGTCGGGCTCCAGCAGCAAGGCCGGCTCGGTCCGCAGCAAGAAGGGCCGACCGCCGGTCCACAAGAAGCGCATCGAAGGTGAGGCAGCGCGAGGGCGGAGCGCAGAACGGGGGTGGGCGCAGATGGTCGTGTGACCGACGGCGTGTGTGTTCACTTTCAGAAGAGAGCAGCGTTGAGAGCTCGTGGATGTTGCGTAACGACACTCTTCAGACGCCGGGAGCTCTGCAGACTCCTCAGCTGACCTCCACCGTCCTCCGAGAGAACAGACCAGCAGACCAACACATGCCCGACCCGGACTCAGAGCCCGGGTCGGAGAACGACTTCGTGCACAAGTGAGTATGAAATAAATGTTTGATGAAATGTATTTTCCTTCAGATGGTTTTTCTTCATCATTTAACGATGTGAAAGATTATTAGTATTCTATTTTAAGTAAAGCTGTTCATTACTGAAGTACGAGCCGGTGCATCGCGAAGTATTTTATACCCTGTATGTTGACCAAAGAGGTATTATGACGGGGCCTTGTGCACTCTAGTCACTAGTTATAAAGCGTACACACACACACACACACACACACTTCTTAATCCTGCTTTCATGTTTAAAAAGCATGACTGCTCGGTCAGTGTGCAGATGTGCTCTTCTGCACCCAAACTAGTGACCGTATATGTCGTATTGTCTCGTTGAATGACAACACCAGCATACATACTGCTCTGTGATAAATGAAGAATATCGAATTTGACTTTCTTTATTTATTATTTAATGTACTTTTTTTGTTTTAAGTCTATGCATAATGATGTGTATATTTTTGTTCTAGATTGCTAATAACTCTTTTCCCCAGGAAACAATAAAACCATGACAGCGATGGGTTTTTCATTTCGAGGGCAGACACAGCAACCACCTTCATGTAAATCTTTCTTTGAAAACAGGCTCATTTCTGTCTTCAGTCCTCAGATGCAGATGTCGTGGCTCGGGCAGCAGAAGATGGAGGAGGTGAACAGGAAGGACCGGACGGGCTTGAACTACATCAAAGCACGCAGCAACCAGGGCGTCCGGCAGACTGTGTAAGTGTCTTTACATTTTAAAAGCAGCTCGGCTTCGGGCCTCCAGCATGTTTCATGAGTATATACCTGATCATTCTCATAATGACGCTTTTCCATCAGGCGAGGGTTGATGGAGGACGACGCAGAGCCCATCTTCGAGGACGTGATGATGTCATCGCGGGGCCAATTAGAGGACATGAATGAGGAGTTTGAAGACACAATGGTCATCGACTTGGTAAGTGATGCCCATTTCTGTCATTGCCTTTTTAAATTCTCAATTACAAAGGATAATAAGAATTTTAATGCACGAAACAGCTTTATTTCTCTTGAATTGACTTATTCTACTTTGTTTTTCAACAAAATTGCTAGTTCTTTGTTTACTTCTTGATGTCTTTCACTAACTGGAACTGGAAATGTGTGTGTGTGTGTGTGTCCATTTCTCCATTTGGATACTTTCCCAGTATTTATAAAGCACTTACACCTTTGATTACGCTTCTTAATTTGTGCTTCTGTCCGTCGCAGCCACCATCGAGAAACAGACGGGAAAGAGCAGAATTAAGACCAGACTTCTTTGACTCTGCGGCGATGATTGAAGACGAGTCGGTATGTAAACCGTTTTACTTCTGAAACTATTATTCGATCAAATGATGAGCCAGTCTAGACTAAATGAGATATTATTATTATTTTCAGTCTCTAAAAAACATACTTTCTTTTTGAAGCGATGCTATTTCCTGTCCATCGTTGCCTGACAGTCGCTCTCTTCTCCAGGGATTCAGCATGCCCATGTTCTGATCTGGGCTCATACATCACGACCAGGAGTGCACAGAAGGAGGCTTTGGGACGCCTGACCCAGAGGAACCTGCGAATTAAACTCTTACGAAGAAGAAGAAAAAAGGTTGTTGAAGTACTTTTCTCTTTCCAAGACGGGATGGAAGGAGGAGTGGGTGCATCCCGCATCGGCTGGAACTCACCGGGAAGCGTGAAACGAGGCTCCAGTATGTTCTCCAGAATCTAGAAGAGCTTCTTGTTGCTCTAAATCTTCTTCCTCCTGCTCCTCTCCGGCCTGTTGGTGAGGCTCTTGTTAGCGGCGGCTCTGATGGCGCTCTGGCGAAGGACTCCTGCTGCCGGCCGACGAGTATGCGCAGTTTTTACGGTTCGCCGTCACACAGATGTACAGTTCAGCAGCACAGAGCAACGTAACACTCTGTACAGCCCCCCCAGTCCTCCTCCCCCACGTCCCCCCACTTTCCCCCCTCTTTGGGTGTCGCACTTTGATCCGTCTTGTTAAATCCAACATACAGGATCTCAATACTAAGTGTTCTATATCTTTGCTCTTATCAACACTGACTCCTCCCCCCTCTCTCTCTCCATCTGAGTCCTCGTATGTGGTGCTAGTGTGTGTGAGTGAGTGCGTGTGTGTGAGTGAGTGCGTGTGTGTGTGTGCGTGTCAAAGTAAAGGCGAGTGTCATCATTGGACACCAAAGTCGCATCCTCAAGCCCCCCCCCTCCCCCTCCCTCACAAATCGTTCTGCACACACACCAACGTCCCATTGAGTAAGTTTTGAAGTTGAAACATTTAAAAAACATATTTTTAATTCTGTAGCTTTAGTACTAAAGTTTTAAATCAAGTGTTTTTGTTTGTCTGATGTTTGTACAGCTTTTTCTTGAATATGTATCTTGTTTGTTGCCAAATTGTGGCCTACATACTTAGAGTATATCCCAGCCCGTCCCTCACACCTGTAACTCGTATCTAATGGTTACCGCGCTCAGATTGTTGCTGTGGGATACCAGGTTTTTTTAAAGCGCTGTCAGGTCTGATTGTAATGGTCACACAGTTCAGTATTACAGCAGAATATTTTAGGTTTCTTCTCTCTGCAGGTCAAACCAAGTGGGATTCTTACACCTGCCTTCAGTGTTAACTCATCCAAGAAGTTTAAGATTTGTTGTTATTGTTCAAATCCAGTGCAGTGGTGGATTTTTATGTCTGACAGATTTGTTTGAATGTGTTTTGAATGTTTCCCGCCATGTTGTTGTTCACCCTCCGTCGGTGGATCAATCACTTCCCTTTCCAGTGATCCTGTAAATATCAAGAGACAATTAGATCTTTTCTGCAGTGCAGTTGACATCAGTTGCCCTAAAATGCTCTAAAGGCCTGTTTTTGTTTTTTTTCTCCCTTGAACCACAAAGTCTTTTTAATAAAATAAAATCTGTAATCGATTGATGGACCTGTGTTTGTGTTGCACTTGAAAGGTCATTTTAAACCTTTTACAGTGTTAAAAGTTGAACTCCAGGTCCACATGTTCTGCTGGTGTCCTCACGTGATCCTCCCCCGCAGATGGTTGTCTCAATTGGATGAAAGTGTTTTGAACTGTTGACTCGGATTGTTCCTCATGTCACCGAGCTCATCTTCGTTTAAATGGTAAAAATGCATTCAGCTACTGTGAAGACATTAAGGTCTGCAAATTTGCAACAAAACTTTCATTCGAACGTATGGGAAGTAGAAAAAAAAAACTAAGTGTGGCATTGGTAGCATTTCATTAGGAAGTGAGCCAACACCTGGTTTGGAGTCCATGATTTATTTTACAAGAGGAAAGGCACAGTGTCCGGATGACATTGATTACGGGGAGTTCACCTGAAAGTGGTCACTAATGTACACAGCAGAAACCTGGACTAAATACACTGCATACAACTTTGGAAACCCTACACGTGTACAACATGTTTGCATTTCCACTAACACGGTAATCTACCCTTTGAGATTCAACCTTATTCTCAAAGTGACCAATATGGCCACAACTGACATGACCTTCAATGTGTGTCTCCACCTCATGAACTGTAAAATGTTTGCATACCAGTGGTTGTACAGAGAAATGTGCTGATTTTTTTTAACAAAGTTAAGTTTATAGTTCAAAACACATCAGAGCTGGAAGGGACACCTGGGGACCCAAGTTGTCATTACTCTGCAGTTCATTTGTCTGAAAAAGACCCCACAGCGGGTGTAGGTGGTGGTGTGTTTCACAGCGGAATGTTGGCGTGTTTCTTCCAGGGATTCAGCTGCTTCTTGCTTGCCAGCACCTCCAGGTCTCTGCAGATCCTCTTGCGGGTGGTCGAAGGCTCGATGATGTCATCCACAAACCCTGAAACACACAAGTTGGCCTGTCAGAAAAAGAGGCGCGGTGCGCATCACTTTTGTTTTTTAATGCCACGAAGGAGGCGGCCACCTCTGAGAGCAGCCGGGAAAGGGTTGGCGAACTTCTCCACGTATTCGGCCTCTGCTTCCGCCTGGTTCTCCTTCCCTCTGAAAATGATCTGCACGGCCCCCTGAGAGAAAGACAAGAGACGGGCCGCGCGTTAGCGTTAGCAATCACTCAAAGCGCGTCGCCCTCGCGTAAACCCGCCGCTCCGTTTTAAGACAGTCCTTCCTATTAAGAGAGACGCAGAGAGAACTAGTGTGCCGTTACCTTGGCGCCCATGACCGCGACCTCGGCGGTGGGCCAGGCGTAGTTCACATCTCCTCTCAAGTGTTTGGAGCTCATCACGTCATAGGCTCCTCCGTAGGCCTGTGACACACGCACAGAGACAGAAAAGCAGACAACATTGTCATCAAGACTGACCGCCAAGCTTAGTACAGCATCTGCACGGTCTTCCAGTCAAGAGATTTGTAATGTATTTTACTGTGCGGCGTCTGCAGGAAGTGCCAGTCATTGGAGAAAGTTTATTTTTCATTGCTCCGGTAAAGAGCTACAGGGGCTTATGATGAGTCTTCCTCATCACCCACCTTTCTGGTGATGACGGTTATTTTGGGGACCGTGGCCTCTGCGAAGGCGTAGAGCAGCTTGGCTCCGTGCCTGATGATGCCTCCGTACTCCTGAGCGGTACCTGTGGACGACCATCGCAGCAGTTTTATTAGGTGACGCTGGCTACATCTCAATGAGGGGTCGAGGAAGACCGCTTCTGGCTTGAGTTTATCAAATGTGACACGGCGCGGTTCCTTATTTGCGAGACGGATACCTGGCCGTGTCACCGCTGCGTGCATTTACTACGACTACATGTGTAACTCTCCTCCAGATTGCAGCAAGCTCTTGAACATGTGTCCTGCACAAGCACGGAGATTCTCAAAGAATACCTGGCAGGAAGCCTGGCACGTCCACAAAGGTGATGATGGGAATATTGAAAGCGTCACAGAAGCGCACAAAGCGGGCTCCCTTCACTGAGGAGTTGATGTCCAAACAACCTGGTGAACAAGACAGAAACACGCCATTTGTTAAGTAACAAGGACTTTTATTTAGAGGGACATACCGACAGAACGGGTCTATCCCTTCTGATCGCCTCTTACTTTTGGCCCCTCAACCCTTTTACTCACCAGAAGCCACTTTGGGCTGGTTACCCACAATGCCTACGGTGCGTCCGTTCATGCGGGCAAAGCCCACCACGATGTTCTTGGCGTAGTTGGGCATGATCTCGAAGAAGTCGCTCTCATCTACTATCTGAACAGACGCACGGAGAGAGGAAACCATGGTCACTCGCAGGCATTCGACAGCAGGTGGAAGCACGTGTTGCAGCGCGTGGCACTAACGGCTCGAACGATGTCCAACATGTCGTAGGCTTTAGTCGTCTCCAACGGCACGATGGTGTCCAAAGAGTGTACCGGGCGGTCGCTGGCGAAGGGGAGACACGTCAAACACGAGCGTAAGGGACAAAAAGGAGGACAGCTGCCGGCTGGACGGTCACCTGCTGTCGTGGCACTCTCGGATGGGAGCCGGGTCCTGGTTGCTCAGCGGCAGGAAGTTGAAGAACTCCCGCACGTTGAGCAAGGCTTCGACGTCGTCTTCGAAAGCATGGTGCGCCACTCCTGAGAACGAGACACCGGGCGCTTTTTAGACCCCAGAGGCCCGCGAATACAACTTGGGTTGAAATATTCGCAACTGGTGATTCAAAAAAAAAAAAAAAAGAAGAAGCAGACTAACCGGACACGGTGGTGTGTGTCTTGGCTCCACCGAGCTCCTCTTGAGTCACATCTTCGTTGGTGACCGACTTCACGACATCGGGTCCTGTGATGAACAGGTATGATGTGTCCTACACACACACACACAACTACATGATTCATTATGTAGCAACATACTGCTACAACTAGCTTAAAAAGGAGCACAACACTAAAATACTTGATTGTGGACGGCTGCGTGTTCTCTCTACCTTAACCATGAAGGTAAAATCCGTCAGGGCCGGCGAGTAGACGGCTCCTCCGGCACAGGGACCCATGATGAGGGAGATCTGAGGTACGACTCCTGAAGCCAACACATTCCTCTGGAAAGGGAGAGAGTCTTGTTTTTCCATCTATAACCCGTTGCAAGCGTCATTGTGTGATTTGAGTCAACGAGTAGTGAGACACAAAACGAGTGACCACACCAGGAATATATCTGCATATCCAGCCAGAGACTCCACTCCCTCCTGGATGCGAGCTCCTCCGGAATCGTTCAACCCGATGACGGGGGCTCCGACCGTCATGGCCTGGTCCATAATCTGAGCGCAGGACATTTAAATGTTGTTCATGCACACTCTGATATTTCACAGGGAGTTGTTCTCTGAAGCAAATTCCCCCCCCGTCGTTGCCGTTACCTTACAAATCTTCTGTGCATGAGCTCCGGACAGACTTCCTCCGAACACCGTGAAGTCCTGAGGGAAAACCGAAAGTGTGGGAGGAATATTAAAGTTTGTCACATTTGTTATTAAATTGAACACATTGTTGTGTAGAGTAGAAGAGTAGAAGTAAAGGTCACACACCTGACTGAACACATAAACCAGCCTCCCATTGATCCGGCCCCGGCCGGTCACCACGCTGTCTCCCGGGAACTATGACAGAAAGAGACATAAGACATTACGACGATACACATCTCGAGGTGTATCTTGAGTTTTCAGGCGGGCGAAGCGAGACGTCGGCGAGGGCCGGCACCTTGTTCCCGTCCTGCTCCATGCCGAAGTCGGAGCAACGATGCTCCACGAACATGTCCGACTCCACGAAGGACTCGGGGTCCAGCAGCAGCTCCACTCGCTCCCTGGCCGTCAACTTGCCCTGCAGCACACAGCGTGCAGGTTACAACAAACACCAGGACCCTGTACAGAAGGGGCTTGACACTGCCGCTTTTCATTCAGAGGCCTGTATGGAATGGGATCTTACCACTCTGATTTGTCAAATACAATTATCAGCTGAATTGGTTTTTATAAATAATCATAATAATATGTTCTATACATAAACAGTTCCTTGTACATGCGAGTAAAACGGAGCGCCATCTTTAGGACTATTACATTGACGGACGCCATCGATTGATCGCGATCAATTAATATTATTATTATCATGATTGTCTGTCCTCACGTAGCACAGATAGGACACCGCAGAGCAGCTAATGCAACAGTTAACCAAAGCAAAGGAAGAAGGTTTATTTTTAAAGGTCATGTATGTGTTTGAGGAGGGAAGGAACTCGAGCGACGAGCAGTGACTTTGAGCCGTTTAACGCGTCAACAACTCGCTCCTGTGCGGTTCTGACACTTCGACTCGCGAGGCGCAAACACGCTTTCTCGACGTTAGACGTCGGCCAGAACGAACAGCACACACTCATTACCTTTTTGTGTTGTGCGTCTATTCTGTTCTGACCTCCCCCGCACAGCGCCATCTTCCGTTTCTCGTCAATCCGCTGCTTAACGCTCAGGGCCCCGGCGGAGCTCCAGCGGCGGGCCCCCGGCTGGTTCGTCGGCTGCAGCGCGGCATATTTCACGGGCGCCAGACTCCTGAAAGACGTCCTTAACCCGCTCAACAGCCCGCCGCTTCTGCGGGCCACAGTGAAGGCCGCCATCTTTGCCTGACGTGTGTGTGTGTGTGTGTGTGAGTGAGTGAGATCTCGGGGGGCGGGACTACGCTCTACGCCGTCAGGGATTGGTGGAGAGCAGGCGGCAGCAGCAAGGGGGCGTCGGTGGTGGGACGAACTGTTTCAGCCAATAAGAATCTTTGAACACTCGCCCGCTCCCGCTACATCCGCCGTAGACGTTCAAATCAGAGATTAAAAATAAATACCTGCAATTGTAAATCATATTTTGATATTGACATTTACAACACTTCGAGCCATTACAAACTCTCACACTCAATTATTTACGAGGTGACGTTGGGAGACATTGGACCCTTTGGGTAAGTCACCATTAGATGCTAATATGTTACATCCTCGATCAAATTCGTTCTACATTGAGTCCTTAATTGAAACTCTGTTTTTCAGAGGGAGACGCAGTTTGTTGTTTTGCAATTCACAAAGCAAAGCAAACAATCTTCACTTAATGTGTTTCTAAGTGAGATGCAATTACAAATGGATCTCAGTAAAGAACCTGGTCGTGCGAAAACGTGCAACATATTTTTCACCATTAAACATTAACGATTTTCCACCGGCCGCCTTTGAAAACCAATTAGTATATTTCTGAAAATGTCACACTTTTCATTTAAGAGAAGCAACTCTATATTTTGTGAAGGGTTTCTGTTATTCTTTTGCAGAACAGACCGTTGATATTTGTTCTCACCTGGTATTATATTTTAATATTGACTCAAACCTCTGTATTTATTATCAACTAAACTTCTGATCTTGAACTTTAACCTTTTTGTTTAGTGAGAAAGTCTGATGGAGATCTGCATGTCATGATGCTCAACCTTACTTCATTAACGATACATACAACAGGAATACAGTCATTGAAGAGAGAGTAAGGACAAAGAGACAAAGCAAACATCGAGAGACGGCTATGCAAATAAATAGGAATTGCAGATTTTTAAGTTAAGATAGCAAAACCGAATTTATAATTAAAAAACAACCACTAGCTTGACATTGGTTGTCGCTAGAAAGTGGGAAAAATAATACAAAGACGCTCAGCCACTGCGGTGAATCGTTACTATACAAAACCTGTGTAGTAACATTTCAAACAGCCTCGGTCCCCTCAACCCGGTGCACTACCGTCTGAGACCGCAGGAATTCTGGGGTCTGCAAATATCACTCGTGACAGTGGCCTATCGTCAGTGGTGGAAGCAGACGTCGAGCCCCAGTCGATCCACCAATAAAAACTCATGGTTCATTCAGCGGCGTAAGCGCCGCCCACTACGTGCAAACTCGGATCGCAACATTTTTTCTTCCAAGAGCAGAGATTTTTTTTTTTTTTTAGATCAAATCTTTTTTTTGAGAGCAAAAGTTTATTTTTTTGAGAGCAAAAGTTTTTGTTTAGCAGCGAAAAATTCTAGTTTAACAAGCAAAAACTAACAAATATTTTTTTCTCAGTTCATATTCATTTTGTTGTTTTTTCAGTACATAATATTTTTACTCACATATTTTCTTTTTTTGCAATGCAATACATTTGCAATTGCATTTTGTTTGCATAATAAAGACAATCTACATTCATAGAAGATCACTGCGGTTACCAGGGTAACGGGGAGAACTCTCGCGCGATGATCATGGCTGTCGAGAGGGGTTGATGCGAGGAAAAGTGGAAAATCGAATGATTGCTACATTTGCAAAGCGGCTAGCTAGCTATGTTTCGGTCGCTGCTCGCCAAGTATTATAGTACAACGTATCAGAATCGTAGGATTTCGATTCATAGCTTGCATTTCCCACAGACACGTGAGGCATAAAGCGGACATAGGGGTTAATGATTCGGTTTAATTTCCTCTAGCTAATTTCGCTTGCTATGCTAACGCGAACTGGTTAGCTTTGTTTACATCAAGTGCGCGCTTGGGATATGATAGCTTACTGCTAACCAAACAAATGTGTGATCTTAGGAGCAGCGTTTCGTTTCGTTAGGCATCGACCAGGAGGCCGTGATAGATAGTAAACGGTCTCTATGGCTAACATTGAGAATCTCTCGTTTAATTGGTGTGGCTGATGTCGTAAGCTAATGCTAGCTGCATAATGCTAACCCTTTGATTATGGACGGTGTGGTCATTTGATTCACTGTTAGCCGGTAGACGTCGTTGGGGAGAATGTGAGTAATTCTAACCAAGGGTCTCATTGGTCCTAATTAACAGGAACCTCAACTGTGATCTGAAAGATCTGGTTCGTGAATAGTAACCACCACGAACCGGTGAAGCTAACATTAGCTCACGTTAGCCTCCCGCAGAGCTAGCTAACGTTGAGCGCGTTTATTGAGAACCGCTTGAGCATATTCGTTGTCTGTTTCTGTTTTATAAAATATTCATGTGCCTGCACTGACGCACCGGAGTGGCCGATTGTTGCACCACCAGGCCACCTTATATTTCCCTCTGTTCACCCCGAGACGTGGCTATCTTTGGCCTCCGTTGCAGTGACTGGCTGGATTTTCCTTCCCCGAGTCTGCGGAGGACATTGCTATGAACCCCGTAAATGCAACCGCTCTGTACGTGTCCGCCAGCCGGGCCGTGCTGCAGTGTGACCCGCGGCAGCCTCACACCTTCGCAGAGATGTACAAGCTACTGCCCTTCTTCCGACAGTCCATTGCATGCCTCGTCTGTGGTAAGCATTCTATTACTATATCACACTTTATATATGTATATATATATATATATATGACAGTATAATGGCAATGCACATCCCGGGTCGCGGAAAACGTTGTTTTTGTCTAACCTGGCGGCACTGTGATCTTTTTTTTGCTAAATACTTTTAATTTTGCTCAAATGAATGAGTGTTCACCTCACTATTCATATTGACGGAGGTGTGTGTGTGTCTGTGTCTGCGCGTGCGTGCGTGCGTGCGTTCGCATTAGTCGACAGGATTCGTCGTGCTCTCGATGGTCTCCTTAGCAACCGAGGCTGAGCCCCAGTCATCTCCTCCTGGGAGACAGATGACTACTCCGTTGTTGTGTCTGCTGCAGAGCCATGTGTTTCCTATTCATGCTCTATTTACTCCCTTCGCTTTGCTAGTTTAACATAAATCCCATCGCAGCTTGCAGGGGGAAATAGGCAATGGTGATTGACAGAATGACAAAAAGTGACTGGCCTTTGATTATTACATAACGGTGTTTTTGTTATGGTAATTGGTGCATTCATTCAATATTTAATACAAACTATAAATTTGGTGGTGTAAGCAGAACAAATAATTCATGTGAGCATTGTGAGTTTATTTCACTAAAAACGGAACACCGACATTTAAGATGTATAGGTAAAATATAGATAAGATATATTTAAATCCCAGATTAGTCACGTATTGTTATCAAACTCAGTGATTTCCTTGATCTGCTTGGAATGCATGAGTCGGTACTGAAACAATTTAGGTTAACAATGGCTTATTCAATTGGTAAGCGTAAGGACTGACGGCTCACTCTTGTTTTTGTCTCAGGCAAACTGCTCCAGGATCCCATCTCCCCATCACATGCAGAGTGTCAGCATTACGTCTGCTTGGGCTGTAAAGGCCAGAAGATGCAGATAAGGCCGCCATGTAGCCGCTGTAAGGATTTTTCCTGCTTCCAGGAGAACCAACGACTCTCTTTGCTCGTGCAATGCTACAGGAAGCTCTGTCTCTACGTAACCCATTCGCCGCTGCTGCAATCGATCAGCAGCCACGTGGGGGGTTCCCCAGAGGTTATGGCGCTGCTAGAGGAGGTGCTAATGTCACATGAAGATGAAATGGAGACAGAAGACCCAAGCGTAGCACAAGAAAATGTGAATCCATCGGCCCCGAAGTCCCTCACCCCGACAGAGGCGCCACCTGCTCCCGCAGAGCTGTCAGCTGTACCCCAGAGCTCCTCCTCGGACCCTCCTCGTCCCAACGGACCACAGGAATGCAACGGGGAAGCGCTGGAGGACCTCGATCCTTCTTCTCCGGAGCTGGAAGTATGCGAGCTGGTAGAGGAGCAGCCACAGGTCGACCTGTCTGTGTCCAGTACTGGCTGCGGTGGTCTGGAAGTGAGTCTGACCACTGGACCTTTAACCCCAACTCCAGGCACTGTGTGCTCACTCAGGGATGGGGAATCTGGAAGCAGGGAGCTGGAAGAGGGGGAGGTGTTGCTTCTCAGTGTGGAGGAGGTGTTACAGACTTTGGATCCCCTTCAACCTGGTCGCGATTCTCCTTATACGCAGCCGGAACGCATGCACACTCACGCACACATAGCCGCGGACCGAGCACACGCTCCCATGTACATACAGCTAGACGGAGCTCACACCTACACACATATCCAAACAGACAGGACTAACACGGTGGCGAACCACGGTGCTCACATCCACGCGTCTTCTTTGGATCCCCCTCCAACCTCCAAGCCCCCGCCAGTCCGCCTTAAACGGAAACGTTCCCGTTCAGAGAGCGATAGGGAAAAGGTAAAACCCCTGCCTATCGCCTCCATCCTACAGGGCCCTTCCTCACATTCACACACTCCAAACCCTTCCCAGACACTGTACATGCAACCGCCTACACCCTCCTTAACTGTACCAGCACACACATATTCGTCCCTTCCTAACGGGGTGCCCCCGAAGCTCAGTCGGCCTGCGGCCAACCACAATAAAGGCGGCAGGAAGCATGTTGACGCGGCCCTTAAGAAGCCCCATGCGAAGGCACGCAGCAGCGGAGGCCCCAAGACCAAGGACGGAAGTAAGGACCAGCGGTTGATGGCGGGCTGCATCGTGCCACCGGCTCCTGTTCGGCCCCCATACAAGAAGCCCGCGGAGAAGAAGGGCTGCAAGTGTGGCAGGGCCACCCAGAATCCATCTGTACTGACATGCAGGGGCCAACGCTGTCCCTGCTATTCAAACCGAAAGGTATTTTTAAAAATACATTTTCATTGGATTTCACTAACTGCAAGCTACATTTGTCTATTTCATCAGAACTGCAGTAGCACTATTGTGTGATTGGTTCAAGAGCATAGCTAATGGGAATTCAAATTAGTAGCCCATAGTTTGTTATTTTGCTGAAAAAAAGTTATTTGGATTTCTTGATGGCCACGATCGGGAAACAAAAACTAGCACCTGTGTTTTATGAGATGTAAAAATACGGTTTAATCATTTCAATGAACTAATGAACTTGGTCTTCACCCTCAGGCGTGCTTGGATTGTATCTGTCGAGGTTGCCAGAACTCCTACATGGCCAACGGGGAGAAGAAGCTGGAGGCCTTCGCCGTGCCAGAGAAAGCCTTGGAGCAGACGCGGCTCACCCTCGGCATCAACCTCACCAGCATCCGCAACCCGGCAACCACCAGCATCCGCACTAACACCCTCCTCAACGTCGCCACGGCGACTGGGAGCCCCGTGTCTGCAAGCTTTCTGTCCCCCAGCCCCCCGCGAGAGCCCAGCTACGAGGACAGCCTGGAGCTGCTGATTGGATGAGAGGCTGGGACTCCAAAAAAACAGACCGCTCCATGCTCATTGAATGTGACGGCTGATTATTGTATCTGTCAGACAACCTGTACCTCCCCATGACCAGAGGGGAGGCCACGAGGCAGCTATGGGTCTGTCCTGTTCTGTAACCCGCTCTCCTTCTGTGTTGGAAAATGCTGACTAGTCAGACTAGCATGGGTGTGCCAAAGCCTCCTGTTTTGTGCCTGTGTGTGTGTTGTTACCTGTCTGTAGTTAAACACTTATACTCGGTTCCAAGGCTGTTCTGTACTCCACAGGTGCTTTTTTTGTTTATAGTCCACAGACATACTGTTAGAGGCAATAGGAACCCAGACCAGATTTTGTGTTTGTTGGTGTGTGCGCACCATCTTAGATTTCAGTGTGCGCATATGCGATTTTTTTTAATTTTTTGTTGGTTCGTAATGATAAAAAAACAGCATCATGATATCTCGTCACGGGACACAGCATTTTCCGTGTTCGAGTATTACTCCATGTGTATTCAAGAAATGCATAATTGGTATCAGGACGGCCCTTACTAACCCTTAAGCCTGTATGTGTTCACACCTTAATTGTGAATGAATCTTGTGACTAATCTATGGAGAAGTTATGTCCCACACAAGACTCTATGCCTTTTCTATCTCATTAACTCACTCAATCAGAGTACTGTCGGGCTGGTAACGAATTTGTCTTAATGAACTTGGACTGATGCAGGCGTTGTACAGGCAGCAAGATAATGTCGAAGCACTTGGCTGGCTCCACAGTTTCTGTGCATGCGTGCGTGTGGGTGTGTTTGAGTGCGTGTAAATGGGCCCGCTGAGCTTTGCTGAAATTCAGCGGGGAGTTGGATGTTGGGTTGCAAGCACTTCTTGATTGGCCAAATCACAACTAAAACCATTCTTGGTTACCATAGCAATAGGAGCACCAACAAGGAGCCTCCCAGCTCTCGTGCGCACACACACACACACAGTTGTTTACAGTATTGCCATGTATACGGACTATAACAACTGTCTTCTAAAATATCACACCTTTATGGGATTGTTCATGACTTGAGTGTTTAGATAAACCGAAGCCATAGATTGTCATTGACGAGACAAAATATCTTCTGTGTGTGCATTTTCCCCACCGAGTTGTAGTGTCCCGGATGATTAGAGACTGAGAGACTATTTTTGATACCAGGTGTTTGAGATTTGGTACCACTGTCTTTTTGTTGTGTTTTATTTGAAGCACCTTGAAGCCCTCCTATAACTTGAGAGGCTGCGTATTGTCCCTGTTTGTGTTTACTGTAACTACAACATGTTTGTCAGTCCAGTCGTGGTGACCAAAAAGAGACTGAAGGAGAGATTGGGAGGACTCAGGCCGACCAAACACACACCGTGGTTCTCAGCTCATAGACCAGGAAGTAGCCGGGGGGATTACAGTGTGATCAGCAGCAAATATGATCCATCTTCCTGTGTGTGTATGTTGTTTTGTTTTTGGGCATTACTTGAACCCTAGTTAGTTTTGAGTATTGTTTTTTTTCCCTTATGTACAAAACTCTTGTTTGAGGAGTGACTCTTATTGCTGAAACATTCACTGCCATAATATGGAAATGTATTACAACATGGATTAAATGATAGTTTTTTACTTTTTCAGTTTTGCGTCTTTGTGTGTAGGACATGTTTAACTCTCCACATTAACCAATCACATTGAAAAAGTAGATTTATTAATCTGAATAATTATAAAATATTTATCCCACTTTGAAGGTATCCATTGGATATAGCAGTGTAAACGCGTCAGTCCATTCGCACTCTTTGAAGCCACAGGACAACACGAGCTACGTCACCACATAGTTCCAAGAAGAAATTCAAAAGTAGCCAGAGGGCAGCCTCACTTATACCACTGAACATTCAGCATCTTGTGGAATTTTGAAATAAATGAATTGTCACACGTCCGACAACATTTCACGTTGAAGACAACGCAATCGGTTAGAAGTCCTTAACACAAGAGAGTACAGCATTTGATCTGCATCTACAGTCCACGATGCAGAACGTGTCCTCGACCAAAAGCAGAGTCATCTGAATGCATCGCGTAATCCTATTAAACAGAATGTAAATCCTGCGTCAGCTGGCGTAAATACACAGTGAATGGCTCTTCTTCCTTGCCATTTTGTGGATGAGTCATTTCATCACATCCTTACAGTCCCTGAAAAAGAAGTCTCCCTCGCCAATCCCGTTCCAAACAGCCGCTCGGATGACCGAGCAGACGTTTTCAGTCACTTCTGTATCGAGCCATCCTAGTCCAGGACATTTTTTACCCGGCAGGGTTTTCTCCCTTTAGCCCACAAGGAAGGCCCCAAAGTAGCTCGCCCTGCCGTCCATCTCCATGGCGCTGACGTTGCTGACGGTGACGAAGAGGCGGTCCGCCGGCTGCAGGAAGGCGGTACCGGCCTGATGCAGGGAGAAGAGGCCGGGCTCCGGACCCCGAGGCCAGCAGGCGCTCCGGGAGGATTTCATCAGCAGGATGGGCACCGTGTAGGAACTCATCTGTGGGTCATGACCACAAAAACAACATCAGAACGTTCCTGAACATATTATCACATTAACTCTGTACTCACTGTACTGGCAGAGAGAGGAGTCACACCGGCTACATCTTTCTGGCGCAGTCAAGGTCACTCCGACATTTATGTTGTCCAAACTGATATCTTATACTCAAATATAAACTATTTTCTAGGCATATTTTGTGGTACGTTTGTCCTTCAGTTGGCACAGAAGTGGTAGTAGATGCACACAGCCGAACCTTCTTGTAGATGTACTGGACGAGCTGGGCTTCTTCTTCCCCCCCCTCCGCCTCCCCCGAGGAGGGCAGTCTGAAGTAGGTCTGGCCGTAGATGTAGTAGAGGCCTGCTCGGGGCACCAGCAGTTCTCCTCCCCGCAGCTCCATGTTCTCCAGGAAGGACAGACCTCTGTGGCCCTCCCACTCCCGGATTCGCTCCCCCAGGTAGCCCCTGCTGCTGCGCGGGACTGCAACAGCAAGGACACACACCCAGAGTCACAACTGTACAATATATAAATCATTTCCCAGCTATTAAGGCCATTCACGATGATGCAGTATCATATCACTGACATTCAAAGAAAAGAAAAAAAAAACATAGAAAGTTGACCAGTCTTTTCTTATTGTCTACAAATGCCATTAAAATAACAAAACCAACAATGTGTTGGACGGTCTTTTAATTTATTTGACATTTTGAACCAATTTCAGACTAGTTTTTGCTAAAAAGAAATTTGTTTTACCGTCCAGGTCCTTTGATCAAGTGCAATTAATACACATTTGGTTCTCCAATGAGAATTCACGTGAACATCGTACGTGGGAAAGACTGCAAAAATAAACCACTATGCCATTTTTATTATAATGAAGAAACTTGTCAGTTCACTGTCAAAACGTGTAGAGCTGAAAAGAGACTGACTGTTGGGTCCCCAAGTAGTTGTACTAAAACACCAATGCTCGCTAATTGTATTTGGGACGGGCCAATACTATTCTGAAGATACCGCACCAGTAACATCCGGACCCAGCGATAATTGAGACCTTGGACAGTAACCACGGGGCATTGTGGAAGGCACAGGCAGCTGCACATCTGCAGGTCCTGACAAACAAAAAGACGTTGCTGAATCTGGGAGAAGCCTTGAAGCACATTCCTAACCTCTGGCCCGTGAAAGTTTTTGGCGAAGCAACACAGTCTTCTCAGGCTGAGGAGGACACACAAAAACCCAGTCCTCTGCTGTCCAGGACTCCGGCAGGTGCACGCACTGGATGTTACCACCACCCCCCCCACCTAGATTAAAGGATCATTACCGTCCGCAGTCGGAGGCTCAGTGGACGAGACGACGCCGGTCACATGGGCGGCAACTTTAGGAAGAGGGACCCCTCGGACCCCGGACGTCCGGGAAGGCTCCGCTCCTGTCATTTCATCTGTGAAACCACCGGCAGATAAGCAACACAAATGGGGGATTTTTGCTGTAAAAAGCCGGAGGGTTACCAGATTAGAAGTAACTGATAATCAGTGGAGGCATTGTTCTTACTTCTCATAGCAGTAGATATCTCCTTCTGGAATCTGTCAGCCATCGTCTGAAAGAAAAACAAGAATCAGAAAGAAAAAGAAAGCAGGGAAAAAGAGTGAATGGAGGTCAGTGTATCTTGACCTCTTCCATTTGAATGCATTTTTCGGTATCTTTAGATCATAAACATTCAGCAGAGGTCTTGTCAGCCCCATTACTCATGCAGTCCTCCCTCCGTTCTAACAAATACGTCATCTGTTGACCTGTAATAACAATGTTCCCTTTTGGGTGAGTCACGTCAGATTTTATTTATAAAGCGCCAAATCACAGCAGACACTTCTCATAAAGAGCAGCTGGAAAGGTATCTGAGGGGAGGGAACCTCGAGGAGAACTGGGCTCCGAGCAGGTCGTCACGTGCTTCAATCGGATCGGTCAACGCTATTTAGAAGAGATCACCGTACACGTGATTTAGACAGGAATTTAATATGTAGTGTGTACTTTCCTATGCAGAATGGCCACTGGTGTCTTGAAAAGGAACAGAGTGAAAGGATTGAAGAGGGATCTACTGTCAGCATGGGATATAATATCAATAAGTAGGTATTTCATTGGTGTATAATCATCAGAAAATGTGTTTTTGCCTCGCTTGAAGTTATAGATGCCACCAAATTATACACACACACCGCACCTTTAATTATGACAAAATAAATTTGCACATACAATATTGCAATCAGGGATCACAAATCAAAACTAAACAAATGAGACCAAAAAATGTATGAAATCAAAAAAACCTTTTCCAGGTGGTGGTGGAGCTGCTGCGTAACTTGCCAGCAGGGATCGCCCTTCTTTTCCTCCGATGAATTTTCAACGTCAGAGCGCAGATTTGCGTTTATTAGACAGGACACGCTGCTGCGGGAGAAAGTCTCCTGCATCTGTCAACACATTAAGAAGGCAAGACACACATTTCAAAATCTGCCATTATTTTTACATATTCATTATTTCCTGGATTAAATCCAGAAATAGTTTTTCTACAATTTACATTTGGGACGTCAAAACAGCATATGCAAACATTAAGCAACCAATTCAATTGTTAATTGATTTATTGTTTGCATAGTATCACACCTGCAGTAAAGTTTTTGTGCATCTGTACAAAGATCAATGTGATGGCGGCCAAATCCTTCTAGTGTAAACGCACATTTCCAATGCATATTAATAAAGTCGCTTAGTTATTAAGCAGAATGCACAGCAGTGATACAGGTGGATGCCAATTGGTGCACGCAATTAACTCAAAGTGGTCAAAGGTGTGCGTGCTGGTTGAGGTGGGCGTTTTGCTGTGACTGAGCCAATCAGAGCTCAGCACCGGAGCAGCCACCTTCTCATAGTGTCAGAGCTGGAATATGTTGCCTTTAGGTGTCACAAAAACAAAAAAACGAATCCCTGCCGTTGTTTTAAGTGATGTGCTCTCAAATGTCTCCTCTCCAGCAGATTATTTGACAACGAACACTTCATGACAATTTCCGATTAAACTGAACAAGACTACAACGAGCCTGCCAACGTCACTGAACGTCACACAGCGACAGCCTAGTTCATAATTTCAACTTTTTACTCGTACTGCTGTGTATCCGTCTAACCTCACATCAGCATACAGCTGTGCAGTTAGTAAAGTTAACTTGTCACCATTGCAACTTTGCCCATTATCCCCTTTCTCCTCTAAAACAGCCGTCCACCGTAATGCTTCAACCCGTTAACTCGTGCTTTACCGTGCTCAGGACCCGGTTGAAGTACACGAAGCTGACGGCCACCGCGATGGTCTGCAGCAGGATCGCTGCGAGCAAGACGAGCCCCAGACTCTGGAGGGACAGAGAAACGGCCATTTCATTTCACAGCGCGGCGCCCAAAAGAAAGTTCCGAGGAGCGAGAGACGCTTCCAGCGGGGAGGACAAGTCGGATCAAGCTCCGCTGCAGCACTGCTCCGCACGGGTGGGAGGATGAATGAACAGCCTCGAGACGTCGCCGCTGTTACAGTGAAGTGAGCCGCGAGCGCACTGTTGCAAGTGCAACTCCGTGAGGCTTTCAGGTGCCGTCGGAAATGCGGAAACCTTTTGAGTTCGGCGCTAATTTCTAACCTGAACGAATTTTTGATAGTATTGATATAGTTAAAGTATGTTACTTAGAGGTTTAAAAAGTATCTTGTATCGTGACAATATAGATTTATATATACATGTTAATGTTTGTTCAATAGTTGAGGTTTAAAGTTCATTCTAAGTACTCTTTGAAATAACAAGTCTCTAATAATTGATCAAATCTAAATAATACATGTGACTGATGTTGGAGTAGAGAATAAGGCGATTTGTGTTCTTTTTCTGATGGCGTGTAGGATCCTGCAGGCCCAGTTGTGTGCAGCAGATGCTCGTTAAACGAGACACTATTGAACAACGTTTACTCTTCTCTGCTTGAAAGTTTCTTCATTCCACTTCAATCACAACATCTTTTCCAATTTGTAACGAGGCTCATTAATACTATATTGGATTACTTTCCGCCAAAAGGACATCAATGCAGTGCTAATTCTTTTTACGACTTCAAGACTGCTGAGCCACTGAAGACCACTGAAGACTGGCTTTAACCGTCTCTGTTGACTGAGGCGTTTCGCTGCGAGCCGGGAAGCTCTGGAAGCAATCAGTGCTAAGAATGTTTGTGTTTTTATGAAGATACTTGGCGTGTTGTGGCTGGTTCCTTTAACGTTTTTATTCCTAACAATTTTGCCCTTATGAGTGGCTGCTCCTAAAAAAACGAACCAATGGCATGTTGTCATTTGGCCTCCAGCACTCGAGTGTAGAAAGCACATAATCAGCATCTGAACAGTGAGAAGAGAAAAAAAAAAGGCATTTTTTTTCCCCCCCTCTCTTTCCTGCAATTGTGTAGCGAGCTCAGTGAATGCCATTCGATTACAGCGCCAGATGACCTGCCATTGTGTATTCCTATGTGCAGGCCCAAGTAGCACTTGTCCCAGGGGAGTCATTCAATCTGCAGAGCTTAACCTTCAGTGATTCACGCGGGTTCCTTTACTTTCATTCCTCCACCTCTCACCCCCGCCCCATTGTCCGTGTGGGGGAAGCGAGAGTGGAGCCGGAGGAATTCTGGGCTCCTGGATGTGCACCGCCCCCGCCGACAATCAAACGGACCTGCGTTGGAGCACGTGTGACACCTTCACACCTCCACACATGCCGGCGTAGCATGGATCCAGGAAGGTGGAGCTCCACCAGACTGCACAGGAAATGGAGGGTGGGGGCGTGTAAAGCGAGGACAACGGTGATGGAGAAGGATTCAATATCTTAGTTTGTTTCCTCTACTGATTTGAAAAACTTGAAGAGACGCGATAAGAGGTTCCTGTGTCGCCTTGGGTGCGTCAATTCCCAGGCTTGTCAGAGCGAAGTAGCGGAGATGAGTGTTACCTGAAGACCGCCTGGCCCCCGGGCGGGGAAGACGACACCCTGAGAGACATGCCTGTCTGCCGTCACATGGCCAAACAGACAAAGAGAGACACAGAGGCACACATGCACACTCCGTGAAAACTGTGGCAAACATTTTTTTTTTTTTATCACGTCATTGTTATTTCTTCCTCTTGGATCCGATCTGCCTTTGACCTCAGTCACCTCAGCTGTTCCTGACAGGCTTCAGTCCAGATAATCTCAATGAGATGAGATTACCAAAAAGTAACGCTGCATTCTTTCCCGTGAATCCCTCGGGGGTTCAAATCAATCACTGCAATGACAACTACACCAACGCTAATTATAAAACGTAAACGCATTGCATAGCAATTGCTGCCCTGGAAAAAAAAAAGCTGGAAAAATTGTTGGCCATCACCAACATCCTCAAAAGCCGCCGTCTCTCTGTGAGGAATCAGCAAGACGTTGAACTCTGTGACTCCAGTGAAACCAGTTTCCAAACCCTAAATCAGAAATCGGTTACAAAAACAATTGGAAACAGGAAAGCATGAAGTAAGTAGCTGCGTCTCTGGAAAAGAAAGCAGTTTCCCCCTGAAGAAAAAAAAGGCTTGAGTAAGACCCAGAAGACATATTTAGGCTTACGGTGTAATGGATTTAAAGGACAGAACACACACACACACACACACACACACCATCCACCCTCCTCTGTTCTCCACTCCCTTTCCCTCCCCTGAGGATTCTCCTCCCCACGTTCCTCTCGGTAAAGTCATGGAATCTCCCTAAATTCCACATTTAGCACTACAGCTGCTCATTGTCTCGTTTGTAAAACACAGACCAACGTGCCAAAAAAATGCCACAGCGGCACAATGCACGCACACCGTTGCCTCAGTGGAAGGCCGTGTCCCCGGTAGGACGTGAACGTGGCCCACATGCAGCCGTTCCACATGATCGAATGAATGAAGACAGCTGAACAAACCAGCAATTCAATAAATAGAGCAAGTAAATACAGTAGTTAAAAGGCTGTGTAGAGAAAGTACTCGATGAGTTTGAAAGTGGCAACAAAGCTACAACACAAAACCAGACAGAATTTTCTTTTTACAACTATACAGCCAATAGAAAATATACAGACAAAAGGCAAAGAGCTTTAGGCGCCTCACTCAGAACTCTACTGATTACCGAGTGTGTCGGATTGAGAGCGTGGAAGGTGCATGTTCGTGTCAGTCCAGTAGAGTGGGGTGTTGCACTGATTATACCTCCTGCTGGTTTTAGTGACCCCCAAAATGCACCTAGGTAAATTAGAATCAGCTTTAACTCTGGCACGGGTTTACAAATGAACAAGAAAATATAAAAAACAGAAAAGGAGGACAACAGAAAACAGTATAAAAGAAACAATATGTCTTATCTTGAACATAGAGAGCTGGTAAAAGAACCACCCTTTGCTGTAAAGAAATGTCTGTTTTTTTTAGATGAAATGTGTGTGTGTGTGTTTAGGTCAGACAGGGAGGGAACTTTCCTTTGTTGGCTTTTTACTGATTAGAATCGGCCTGTTTGGAAATAGCAATTAACATAATAGGCTATAGTTGGCACATCATATCAGTGTGATTAATCAATGCCCTGAAAGAAATGTTATTTGTCTACTTCAACTCCACGTTCAAATTTAATAATAAATTGCATAACGTACCTGAAGGAGAAAATAACAAGCAGATAACAATTTGTAAGAATGACTCTTTTATTCATCAGTTTGTTCAAAAAGCACAACAGCAAGCAGCAGAAACGGGAAGTACTTGTGTCCCGCATGAAATGTTTAAAAGATGTGACAATTGCAATTAGAATTCATTTTACACCTGCATGTTACTTTAAATCAGTTTAGGGCAAAACATGGACATTATTAGGTACATACAACATCCATTAAATAGAACACAACGTGATTAACACTATAGTGATTATCAAGCATGGCTGTGTACCACAGCTGGTTGAACACACAAAAAAGCCCACAAGAAGCGGAGTGAACGTCCTCCTGAAGAATATTTCATTTACACACGTTATCTGTGTCAAGTGGACTTTGTTCTTCCTACAACACGAGTCTGCAGGCAGCAAGCAGCAAGGCTGCTGAGCTCAATGCTAATGCTAGCATGCTAACATGCCCTCAATGACAGCAATTGTGCTGCTGCTAAGCAGATACTTTTCACCATGCTCACATTTAATAATTGGCGAAAAGTACTGCAAAGGCTGATATGAGCAGGTGTTTTTCTGAGTAAGAAAATTGCAATTCCGACAAGATATTTCAAAGTTAATGGATGAAAAAGGTAATTACACGTGAATATATAGCCAATGTGATAGTTACAAAAATATTTAACTGAAAATCACAAAATTCAGTTGGGGAGGTCAGCGCTGTCATTAGGACTGAAAACACGACAATAAATCCAATGTTGACATTTCAGACCAAACCTTTTCACATATTTTTCCTAAGTGCAACAGACAGTTAACTGCTGGCTTTTATTTTTGTTGGCTTCGTTCTAAAAGTTAAGTATAAAAGCAATTACATGTGAAAAATATTGCTGATGTGTTTGTGGGAATAAAAATCAGTGAACGTACGTGTTTCCGCAGTGGAAGCAGATGAATTATTCATCCATTACACTAGTGCAAAGCTTGTGACATTTTTTTAAGGTATTTTTATAAGCTGGTCACAATGTAAGCCATGTTACGTTTTGCCCCTCTGCACTGCAGGCAGATGTTTCACGGCTAGCAGACCTTCATATGTCACGTGTGTGTGTGTGTGTCTATCTGCAAGAACATGAGGGCCCTGAGCTTTTCTTTTTAAACAAAAATGACATGTAGCCCTTAACAAGTCTCTGTTTGATAAAGCAGTGAAACAAACACAATGCATGCAACCACAAAGACCCTTCCGCCCGCTCGCTCACTCCCACACGCTCCTACAAGTTGTCCTGCAGCCAGTCGAGGTAACCCCTCAGTGCTCTCTTCCCCACATCAAATTCCAGCGGCCAGGTTATGAAGCTCAAGCATCCGTGGAAGCCGTCCTCGTAGTGGTCGCTGGTCACCGAGACGCCCGCGTCCTGTAGGCGCCGTGCGTACATCAGGCCCTCGTCCCTCAGCACGTCGTGCTCGCACGTCAGCACGTACGCTCGGGGGCACTTCGCCAAAACCTCTGGGCCCGCTAACAGAGGCGACGCCCTCACGTCCAGCAGCCCCGGCACCTCCTTCCACGTCCCCTGGAAACCCTTCTTCGGAATCAGAGGCTTGTGGTCCCGCTTGTGTTTCGGGGGCAGGAGGGCGGTCCAGTCTAGACGCGCCCTGAGCTCCGGGGTGATGTTGGAGTTTTCCAAGGCGCTGTGGTTGTTGGCCAGCGCCTGGGACAGGAGGGAGAGGTCAGCGCCGAGGTACTGCAGCCAGAAGTGCACCATGAGCGGCCGGTGGAGGATGGGTATGTTTTGGTTCTGCAGGTAGGAGGGCGTGTTGAAGTCCAGAGCCTGGAGCACCGGGTAGATCAACGCCTGAACGCTGAATTTCGCACTCATGGTCTCATCTGTGGAAATCTGGCGAAATAAAAAATAAGACACGTGAGCCCTTCATCTTCTGATCCCACGGGGAGACTGGTGGGTATTTACCTCTTGAGCAACGGCAGCGGCCAGGTTTCCTCCAGCACTGTCACCTGACACAGCCACGCGCTCGGGGTCGATGGCGTACCTGGCCCGGACCTCCGGGGACAGGAAGTGCTTGGCAGCAGCGAGGCAGTCTAAATACGGCACTGGAAAGTGCACCTCTGGATACAGGCGGTACCTACACAGACATCAGATGAACATTCAGCGCAGAATCAAGACCACTTTGGAGAACGTGACTCTAAGCAGTTGACGCATGAAGATGAATTTGCTTTTCTGCAGAAGAACAAATGAAAAAAACTCGTATGAATCATCTGAGGCTCTGAAGAAAGCTGTCGATAGTGTGTTTTTGTCTCCACGTGCAGATCCACGTAGCAGTAGTTAGTTGGCGCGGGGAAACTTACTCAACAGAGACCACGACAGTGTTGAGCTCGTCGGACAGCATCCGGCCGATCGTATCATACGACCCCCTTTCTGAGGAAGTGAGAGGTGGAGCGTGGAAAAGTTAACATGAAATATTTTGCAATTCCAGCCCATTTCAAAAGGACAGATTTAAGGTCTTGATGTTCCGTTTTTAGTTGTACTTTTAGAATACAAAATGAAGAGCCGGTTAACAAAGCTTCCAAATGAATACAGGGCTACGAGCAAGCGTTGAATATAGAGAGAAATAATGTCGACATTTATCTGCAAACTGTATGCTCTTCTAGTGAAAAACACTTATGTGACAAATGCTTCTATATGTTCTCAATTTTTGACCATTTACTTTGCGTTCATTTCAAGACTTAATTCCTTCTATTTGCATTTAAAAACAGCAGCAACGTCCGTACGCACTTCCAGTGCCGAGGGCCCAGCCTCCGCCGTGGATAAACATCAGCCCTCTCCTCAGGTGACCCTCCCCTCCGGCTGGCGGCTCGTACACGCGGACCGGGACGCCGGCGAAAGTGATGTCGCTGACTTTGACCCCGGGCATGACGCCGCCGCCTTGCTCGGGACCCAGCAGCCCCTCCATCATGCCTTCAAAACCCGCCGTGGACCGGCGGATTGAGCCGATGTAATGGTCGATGCCCAGCCAAGCCTTCACGGAGGCCTGCAGACAGAGGAGACATCGGAGACACATTTAGGGCGAAGAGTGGAAGCAAACTTGTGAAACCCTTCGTCTCGCCTAGTCCCCTCTGTCCTTCTGCACTGTATCCTACTGTGTCTCAGGATGTCTGCCCTCCTCCCCACTAACCTCCCAGACTGTCTCAAGAGTCTGGTTCAACCGAGGCCAGCAGACACAGCTGGCCTGACAAGGGGCGGTTTGGGGGGGTGGGTTTCAGCACCGGTCAGCTACACCAAGTCACGACCTCCACAACGTTCCACAACATCATTGCTGCAATCAATTTCTAAGGCTGAAATGTTGGTTTTTCGGATAGAAGTCTGAATTGAAAAGTTCACCTCAGGTCGGGACCAACAAACATTTCTCTAAAAAACGTCACAGCGCGAGAGGCAGGAAAATACTTTTTTATTACAGTGTAGTGTAAAACAATTTGAGCTTCTTCTTCACACAGTAAATCTTATAAAAGAACACAAATAAAAATGACAACCGGTAAGAGTTTATTTAGTCTTCTCGCAATGGGGTTTCTTCACTTCATATTTCGAAAGGAAAGACAAGTAGAACATTGATGTGCAATCTCTCACCCGGACAGCAACAACCCGTATCACTTCCCTTCACCTGCAGTGCCAAGTTCAAAATAGAGCAAAGGTGAGGGGGAGGACGTGGTTGTCCTTGCACCAACCCACAACCCAACGCCATGGTGGCTACATTGCAACAGATTAGTCCGGTTAAATCTGTGAGAAAACGGCATGGCGGTTTCACAATAAAGCTGTTCACAAAGTTTCTACATTTCAGTCTGCTGTTAGAAAACGGCTTCCAATAAAGAGAAGCACTGTAGACACTCTCATCCGTAACAGAACACAGTGTTAATCATGTCATAGCATGATGTAGATTATTCAAAACATGGCTTAGGTGTGTAGGATCAAAGTCCAACCTTTGTGTCACAGTGTTGTGTCCTTCCCACTATTACATCGGGTATTACTTTGGCATGCAGTACCTGCCACCTGCCCCTTTTCATGTGGAAAACAAGTCCCCTGCACATATTAGCCTCTGCTTGTGCACCTGCACCCTTCCACCTGCAGCACATCCTACCACCACGCACACACCCCCAGTGACTAAAACATCTGCCCTCTCACCAGTTGCATCGTGGCTCGGAATCCTGCATCCATCAGCATGAGCTTCCAGGGCTCCTGGATGGCATCGGGCATCGGGACGTACACGTAGTACGCGAGGGCCACCGCCAGTGACAGCGTGACAGCAGCGGGAAGCAGCCTCATCTCGTGCCTCTCCGACTGGCGGGGGGAGCGGACAGCGATCGCACGGGCTCTGCGGGCTGCACCGGGTCTCTCTGGGGTTGTGGGGGGTGAAGTGGGGGAGGGAGGAGGGGCGGGAGGGAGGCAAATGCGCTCAGACTCCGCTGGGAAGTCTTTAAAATAAACCCTTTATTGACATCTACGCTGAGCATGATGGGCGCGAGACTAAAACACCTTAAACCACTCGATACATTTCGACACGTTCGGATTCAATAACGTTACAGTGACAGTTATATTACAGTTATTATATATAACTTTATATATATATATACAATTAGCTAGATTTGCTAAAATTTGCTACATCCTGCCTATTTATGCTATTCATATATATATATATATATATATATATATATATATATATATATATATATATATATATACACACATGTAGTATATGTAGTGCCCCCCTTTGTTAAGCAGTATCTAGCAAATTGTAGGTATTCTATCAGCCTACGATTACAATTAGAAAAACAATTCACACAAAATGTATTTTGAACTTGACTCAGCATGACTGGCACTTTTATTTTGAAGGCTGCGTGGCAGCAGCGAATGGGCTTTTGGGAAATGATTTTTTTGTGCGTGAAGTCTGCAGCGGTGTTGCAAACGTGTGTTACACGCACGTGACCACAGAGAGGCACAATAGAGCTGCAGAGTGCTGCAGGGACGCCACACGTCCGCGTTTGTCTTCACTTCCAGCGTGTAGCTCAAGGTAAATAAAAGGTAACGAAAAAAGCAATTTGGTTAGGTGATTATACATAATTAAAGCATTTAAAAACAACCACTAAACTGTTTTGAAAATGCGTCTTCAATCAATGCCACTATCTTCTTTAAAGTTGAATGCTTGTATAACTAAATCTCATACGTGTGAGAGTAGTACTTTGAAGTGCAGCAAAGATCGGTAAATGCAGAGTTACTTTAATTGCAGTAAAGAGTAGACTTTTAAAGAGTAAACATTTAAAGTAAGTTCCCATCTAAAAACAACATAAATAGAAAACATCCTGTTAATGCTGTAGAGGCCATTACAGGAGCACGACGCAGGGCTCTGTAACTCTGGTTATTGATTCCTTTTATGTGTATTAATCAATACTGAACTGAAGTTTTACTGGAATGAATTAGTGTGCCAAGTTGTTGGATAGAGATCACACTCATGATCGTTGGCTAATGATCAGACTATTGATCCCTGTACTCCTTTTACATTTCTGTCGATCAATGTTTTCTCTTTTAATTTCCTTAGTTGTTCACAATTTGGCTTTTATTTAAGTACAGAAAATAATCCTAGACACAAGATGAGTTCAATGAAAGATCTGTGATCAAATCAAACCAGCATGTTGCGATTCCGTGGTCAGGTTGACTTGTTATGCATCTTAGACAACGGGGCTCAGTTTCTGCTGTCTCACTCTCTCTCCCTCGGTGCTATTTATTGCCCTCTGTTTCTTCCCACGGTTTCACTTTGAAATGGCTGCTGTCCGTCTCAGGAGGCCCTGACAGAATGTAAACAAACGGCCCAGCTGATGAGGATCTGAGCCCTTGCACCGGACTGGTTTTCCAAAACAAAGCAGCTACTAGACCACCCGACCATGTCAGATTAGAGTCGTGGACGTGAACGGGGGTCCTCGTGGCTGCAGGTGTTCGTACTGACGTCTTTACTGTGTCCCTTGTGAGCGGTCATATCTGAAAACGAAAGGCCATTTAGCTCTGCATTTGTTTACGCAGATCTAAACCTGTTTCTTCAAAATAATGCTGCTACAGCTTCATATTGACAAAACAGACATCCCAATCTTCTCATTTAACCCTCAACCAGAAAGAACATGAATGCCTGATGATGGATCACGTGCATGTTTTATGAAAATACACGTTTTGATGTTTTATTCCACCGTTAAAATGTGTCACGCTTTAATCTGACAACAGCTGTTCTTTCTCATCACGCACAAAACTACAAATTCTTCATGGTCACCTTGAAATCGTACATCCTGTTAGCGGTCAGCCGGTTTCACACTCACAAGTCAGACACAGATGGTGAACCTGCTCTCTGTCCAAAAGGCCGTCCCAATGAGAGCGTCCTAAGAAAGATAAGACTAAAACATTAACGTGAGATATGTGCTTGTGTGCAAGAGTTTGCATTAAAATCCCCTCTTTCTGCTGCCCCCCCTCCCTGCTGTGTGCCGGTCTGGCGCCCCCCCCCTCCCGTCTGTGGCATGGAGGGCAGGGAGAGGGCCTCTCTTGTGTCGTCGACTGGAAATACACTTACGGTCGGTCATTCAACATGATGACTAAATGGAGATTTTCCATTTCAGGCGCCGCCTCTTGCTTTGCCTTTGCACGTATTTGAGCAGGAATAACTGGTTAATGTCTGGAGCACAGTTAAGTGCATTAACCATTTCTGTCTTTGCACCTTGTTTTTTTTTTTTATCTCTTTCCGAAGACACTGAAAGGTGAAGTGATGCAAAGAAAGTGTTTGTTGAATGACATTCACCAGCTGAATCGCTGCCTGTCGCTGCTCACTGAACACACTGCACACTTGAATGTAACAAGGCCAGTGTGAAAAAGGGCTTGGAAAAACACAACGACTTCCTCTTACAACAACCTGCCACCAACAACCTGGTGTTAATGTGTAAAAAGGAGGATAACAAGATATTTCAACTGTCACGACCTGGCTCTTTGGGCCATGACAAGATTGGAGTTACACTGGTTTCCGAGGTGTAACATTCTTTATTTAACACACAAAACAACGAAAAACCATAACCATTCCAGATGGGATGCGAATGTCAGTATTATCAGTAGTGTAGGATGTGCATGAGGGTAAAGTGTAAATGGTGGGTGTTGTCCAGGGCATTTAACCCAAAGGAAAACCGGATTCAACAGGCGGCTGCCCTACCACACCGGACGTCTGCTGGAGAGAGAAGAGAGCGACAGAATCAATGAATGAACACAGGGCTTTCTAATCTCAGGGCACCTGGCCCAGGTGCCTTCAATCACCAAATCTCATTGGAAGGCTGCTGCCTCCACAGCAGGGGTCGTCACACAACATAGATTTAGAAGGACCACAGAGACTCTTCCTAGGGGAGGAAACTACCAGGCAAAGCTCACACTGACAGGAAGTGAGTCTTTGAGACTAAAAATGGAGGCTGCAGTTTGCTATTCTCTGATGTCATGAAGCAGCACTGGTGTGGACTAACAACCGCCACCGAGATGGAACATCATCTACATCCCGTAGAGAGGCCTTTTAACTGCAGTATTTTTTTCTATTTGAATTTCTGAAGAAATCGTAGGTGTGGATAATGATTCCGAGGAACCAGGGGAGGTTTTGTTCAGTCATTCTTCCTCATATTGTCAATGTAGCAACTGGACAAAGTGGAGTAAAAGTTGCATTACTGCCTTCCTTTTATAGGAAGTAGAACCACCACAGAGTCAGTGCTCATACACTGTATTCATAACGGTATTTATAGTATCTCAAATGTTTCTGCTTGTACCATGACAGAGGGCCGAATCAGTGTAACATTGGAAAACATACTTTTTCATGTTAAAATTGGAAATGTAAAGACTTTCACTTTTTTCATATTCAACAGCTTTTTTTTTAACTTTGCTTTAACATTTGATCAAATTTACCATAAACTGTTACATGTATTTCTGTTTCTCAGATATGTCGTGGACGGCAGGCCAGCTGGTGTGCAGCGTCTAAACACAAACTCTATTTTCGAAACAACAAACTACAACCTGTTGTCAGTCTTCCCTGCGCACAGCAGGGTGTCGCATCCGAAAGAACGGGAACAAAGCCGACTGGGATTTGTGCAGGGTGGCATGTTGTGGTTGCTGCGAGGCGTTCAAGCACACAGTGTTCTTATCTGGTTCAGGGCGACGTGCTCTGATGCAGAAGACACACAGTCATCATCTCAGAGGGGCGAGATCATTTCGTTTTGAATTCTTAGCTCTGTTGCGGTTTGTGCTCTTTCGGCATTCGGCTTCATCGGCTCGTATCGTTTCCATCAGCAAGAGCATTAGTATGCGATGTCGCTAATCTGTTTGAGCACGGTATGAAACGTACTTGGTCTGATGGCTGGTGGAGGACGGACGCGCTCGGAGGCATCCTGCAGAAACAAAGGGAGAAGCACATTACCGGACTGATTGTTCCGTTCCGCGTGGCCCCAATCATGTTGTTCAATATAAAGCATGATAACGATAATGATGACTGGATCCACACGTGGTGCTCAGCTATTTACATATGTGTGACACGGTTTTCATTTCCTTTACTGGGGGGAAAAGTACGAAGACAGGTGGATTGATGGATTTTTAGCCGTGCCCTTGGGGTTGCAGCGTCTGCACGGTGGTCGGTTTGTTTGACGGAATACCACGAAATTGTGTTGAAACATTAATGGTTTAGAGCGGAAGAACCTTACTGCCTCTGGGGATCCCTTGATGTATTCCCTTCCTCAAGGTGAGATGTGATAACTGAGGTGATCCCATAACTTTTCATAGCTTTGATCAAATAAACACAAGTGACATTCCCATCAGCCTCAGCTCTATTAATACGCAACAGCATGATACCTGGAATACATTATTGTCATTGTCATACAGTCTGACAGTGACACCAGAATGTCTGTAGACTCTATAATACATATATTATAATATAATAGTCTGTATAATACACGTCTTGTTTTACATTTTGCTTCTGTTTTTTACATTTGTCACATACTTCACACATCCATACAGTTTATATAACAAAAGAAAAATAAATAGTCTTTTCTCAGTCGTGTTTTTCTTTGCTGTATTAAATCCTCACACCATACAGCCAGAAGCAGAGAGACTGTGACTAACAGCATCTTCAAGAATCAATTAAAGTGTTTGTTTTAATGTAAATGAGAGGAGGAGATGGTGAAAGGGAAAAACAACATCAACTGATTCCGAGGTGAGAAAAGCTTTCACCTTCTCTTCAACACCAGTTCCACATTTTTTCTCCCCATTCTTTAGTCAAACCCTTCCCCCTCCCTTCTCGACTAAGTCTTTCCAGCTCGTGTGTAGCTGTCAGACTCAAGTTTTCCACTGGTCTCCTGGGGGTCC